CAGCTTCCACTGCCTGCAATTCAACGTTTGTAGCAGAAAGATTACATCTGCTGACGCCTTCCCTGCGGGTGGACAGCTGGGCCTCCCTCCCAAAGCCGCTTTAGGAGGAGATTGACTCCAGGGAGAGGAGGAAGGTGTCCACGGGCGCTAGCGTCTGCTCAGGGGGCAGAGTGGATCAGGATCTTAGCTCTGCGGTACCGACGGCGGTGACCTTGGGCACCCCTTGACCTTTGAGCCGTCCTGGCTATCAAGCCGCCGCCCAGCCCCTACCGCGGCTCACCGAAAACGAAGTTGTCTGGCCTGAAGATTTGACCGAAGGGTCCCGAGCGCACGGAATCCATGGTGCCCGGTTCCAGGTCCACGAGCACAGCTCGGGGCACATACTTGCCACCTGGGACGGGGGGGGGGGGCGGGCAGGGTAAGAGAACGTCAGCGAGAGAAGAGCCGCGGGGGAGGCAGGAAGGAGTTAGGAAAGGGGCGTGGTGTCTCACCGGTGGCCTCGTTGTAGTACACGTTGATCCGCTCCAACTGCAGGTCGCTATCGCCGTGGTAAGTGCCGGTAGGATCGATGCCATGCTCGTCACTGATCACCTCCCAGAACTGCGAGAGACGCCGGCGGGCCGGGCCGAGGCTGAGTCACGCCGGCGGGGCCCGGAGTCGGCCCCGCCCCGGATGGGCGCGGCCCTCCCCTCCCCCGCCACCCCGCGGCCGCCTCCAGATCCGTCCCCGGGGGCCAGCGCCGCCGCCCCGGCCCCGACCCTGTGCCGGGCCGCAATGCGGGTCGCCGTCCGCCCACCGGCCCGCTGCCGCCATCTTTTCCGCCGCCCGCCCACCCGCCCGGGAGACCCGTGCCGGGGCCCGTGCGCCCCACTACCCACCTTAGCGCCGATCTGGTTGCCGCACTGGCCGGCCTGCAGGTGCACGATCTCCCTCATGGCGGCGGCGGCGGCGGCGGCGGCGGCGCGGGCGGAAGGACGGACGCAAGGACCGAAGAACGGGCGCGCAGAGTGCTACAACCGACGCTCCGCCAACGCTTATATATCCGTCGCACCCGCCTCCGCCAGCCTCGTATTGGGCCGCGAGAACGAGGCTGGCAAACATCCTGGTTTGACTGGCTGTGTTTCCCGTCAATCCAACCGCCTAACGCCCACCTTCCCACCGCCGTTCGCTCTTCATTGGTCAGCCTCGGTCTCTGCTCTCCCTATCAAAAACCCCTCCCTCGCGCTGCAGTACTCTGGCCATTGGGTGTTTCAAATGATTGATTTGTCCTCTCATTGGCTGGCTCCGGAGAGCACGCCGACCTAGGGCCAGCGTCCTGGTAACCGCCGCAGTGCCGCGGGGACGCGCGCGGGGGGGGGCGGGCTCCGGGGGCGGGCTGCGGGCGCGGGCTGGGACTTATCGCCCCGGGGAGGGCCAGCCGGACGGGCCGCCGGGTGGGCGCAGTCCGCGGTCCGCGCCCCGGGAAACGCAGGTGGGGCGGCGGCGTAGGGCTGTGCCCTTGCGGGCCGCGCGCGCACACGTGCAGGAGACTGCAGCCCCGGGGGGCGAGCGCGCGAGCCGGGCCAGCCGAGCGCCTTCTCCGGCACGGCTGCCTAGGACCCCGGGGAACGAAACGAGGGGGCGGGAGCGGGGGCGGCGCCGGGACGAGCGTGTGGGCGAGGCCTGGCGGTCCCGGGCTGCCCTCCTCGGTCCCAGCGCCCGCTCCGGTCGCGGTCAGGTGAGGGAGCACGTGGGGCCTCGGCCCCGGGGCCTGGGGAGGGGAGGGAAGGGCGGGGGCCTGCCTGGCCGCGGCGCGCACTTGTTGTGGAGACGAGTTGGCCCCGCGCCGGTCGCCTGGTGCCTCGGCCCCAGGGGCGCACAGAGCTGCGTGGAGACGAGGGCGGGCCCCCGATCTCCGGGCGCTCCGTCCCCGCCCCCCCCCCCCCACCATACCTGGGCTTGACAAATGCGTTTACTTTTTCTGTAGTTTGTGAAGGAAAAACAGTTAAATTACATATGGTCGCATTTTTAATCAGTCGTTTTAAAAACTGCATTTGCGTACGTTTTTGTAACATTTTAGAACAACTGAATCACACCCTTTGGTCAGCCTTGACCTGTCTCCCTTGCTGTGGCCACTGGAGCCTCCCTAGATTCTGGTTTTCTCAGGGAACTTCCTGCTTCCTTTGTCTCCCGACCCAGAGGTGTTGGGGGGCAATACCTGGTTATTTTCCGTAAGGAGAACGCACTCTCTTTGCATAACACCCTACGGTATGCGATACCGCGTTACTGTGGCATACGTGCGACCTTAACATATTATGGAATGCGACGTCCGAAACTGAACTGTGGATGAAATTGTTGAGACAAGCAGCATGCTGGCACAGAGGTTAGCATTTTCATCCCCTGGAGAGCGGTCTGCAGCTGGGCTCCTCCGGATTGCGGTCCTGGCCTGGAGGGTGAGTCAGCAGTCAGTTCCCAGCGGGGCCTGGGGAACCAGCCCCCTCCCCCACATACCTGCCGGGAAGGTGGACCTAGCTTCTGGTGCTCACGGGTCTCCCTCCCCCCAGCAGGTGCTGTGCACGAGGTCACTGCCTGGCATCCCGGTTGCCTCACAGTGCCCTGCAAAGTAACTCAGCTGCCCAAGCAGCAGTCGGCAAGGCCCGGCTCTGTGGCAGTCATAAACCCGCAAATCGGGTGAGAGAGAAGCTCAGATGTCCCCCCCCCCCCCCCATGAGCCAGCGGGTGGTACAAAGCCCTGGGGAGGTTGCTCTTTGAGATGTCTGTCAAAGCCTTCTCTTCTCATTGCCTTCCCCCAGGGTGTATGGCCTGACATCCCCACTTTCTGGAAAAGGCCCGTGCCCACAGTTCAGTGTGGCACCTCCGCTTCATATGGGTGATGGAACAGAGGCTGTGTTTCTGCCCAGGTGTGAGCCTCCGAGCTCTGAGACACCAGCTTGTCCACCTCGCCCTTCCCATTGTCCCCGTGAGATGGACACTGGGAACAAGACAGCACGAGTCTCCCTGTGGCTCTCAGGCTTGGGCCCAAGAACCAAGGTGGCTGCTGCTGCACTGGGCTGGCCGGCGGAGGCCCTGCAGATCCCCACCCTGAGCCAAAGCAGTTCCTGCCACAGTGTGCAGAGATGGGCCTCAATGGGGCAGCAGGGCCAGCCCCGGGGGCCTGGGCCCCGTGGGGGTCTGTGGCCGGGAGCCATGCAGGGCAGAGAGGGCCAGACGTGCTGGGAAGCCTGGGCAGGGGCCGTGGGAGTGCTGGGCGCCTGCCCCTCCTGCCCCAGCCTGCAGCTGTTGGAGGCATCCACAAACGAAGGCTCTGTTTACTCGTGGCCATGGTCCCAGCGGGAGGGTGCGTTACCGCCAGGCAGGGGCAGCAGGCAGACAGTCCTTCACGGCCTCAAAGGACCTGCAGTCAGCCTTTGTGGGCGGCCTCACCCGCCCCGGAAGGAAGGATGCATGGGGTACTTTCTTCCCCTCTCTCTGTGTCCCCACAGTGGGGACAGAAAGCTTCCACCACCACCACCACCACCACCCCCAGTCTCCCCAGGGAACTAGCCAGGCCCAGCCCCACCTCTGGGAACTTTCATCAGAGGAACCTTGAGGCTGATGTCCACCACCAGGAGCGTCCTGAGGTCACTGAAATCGGAGGGAACCAAGCTGTCGTGGATGAGCCTGCGGCGGGGGTCTTGATCCCATGAGCCCCAGAACAAGTAGCTACCTCCCTCAGTGGGCAGTGAACCTCAGGCTTAGGAGGCCTGGGATCTTGGGGGGGGGGGTGGCAGGGGACATGGGGAGTGAGGGGACCGAGAGCTGAGAGGACATGGGGAGGGCTGGGAGTTCTGAGGGGGAGTGGAAAGGCGGGACCAAGGGCAAGAAGTGACCCGGGACTCCTCAGGCCTCCTCTTCCTGGCCATTCAGACCTCTTCCCACACTGGGTCCCGGTAGGCAGACCCAGAGGGCCTGGGAAAGAGGTGCCTCCCCCAGCGGGCAGCATTCCCTGGACAAGGAGGAGGTGATGACCACAGCAGCAGCACAGCACAGACCAGAACAGACAGCAGCACAGACCAGAACTGGGCAACCCAGACCCCTGTCCAGGGTCATCTCCACTTCTGATGGAGGTGGGCATGTGCCCCTCGGTGCGTGAGTTCTGGGCAACAGATGTAATTCTACCTAAGAAGCTTCCGTTGTTTTGGGCGGGGGTGGGGAGGTGAGAGGGGTGCTGTAGGAAGCCCTGGGATGGGAGCAGGGAGGCCCTGACTCCCTGGAGTCAGCTTACTGGCTGGCAGGCAGACAAGCCTTACAGGGTGGAAGTGGGCCACGCCCCTGCCGCAGGGAGGGGCAGGGGCAAGCCGGAGCCCGGGTGGGGGGTGCACCCTCAGGTGGGTGGACATCGCTCAGCCTCACCCCCTCACCTGAACTTCGCCCACCTCACAGCCGAGGGGCTTGGGGAGGCATGGGCTCCAGGTGCAGGTGGCTCTAGGGGCAGGACCTGCTTCCTGGGGGGTGCTGAGTGCCTGCTCCGCTGGGCCCAAGACAGCCCTGTGTCTCACCCGGACGCTGCCCTGCACCCCACCCATCTGAGAGAGACGGACAGGGGCAGCCTGGGGCCTCCTGGTCCTCACACTGGCCTCCTCGCTCCCTGTGCGCCTGCGGGACCCATGGGGCTGGCCCTCGGAGAGGTTGCCCACGCCTGGCTCCCAGGCCACGTCCTCTGCGGGCGGGGGGGGGGGGGATGGGAGACGGCTGCACCCATGGGGAAGGGCCCCAGACACGTCCAGCCTCCTCAGAGCACAGGTTCTTGCTGAGGGATGTGTCCACCTCCCGAGTGGCAGCCGCTCGGGAGAGAACCGGCTACGGCCTGGGGTTCGGGGGCCAGCTGCGTGCCCCCACCCACACGGACTTGCAGTGGGTCCCGAGTGTCGGCCGGGGACAGCTGGCGCTTGTCCACCTCCATGTCCCCCGGGAGCCAGCTCAGGGGCCGTCCCCAGGCGGGGGAGTGAAGACCACTCACACCTGGTTTATAGCCTTGTTTATTTGGAAAGAAGCCAAGCTAGGTGACTCGGAAGTCCCCCCAGGGCACCCAGAAGTCCACGAAGTGGGGGTGCCCACCCTTCACAGCTGCTGGGAGGCCAGGACCTCAGGGTTCTCGTAGCAGTGGGCCTCCTTGGCAGCGGCCGGAGGGGGGCTGCAGACCCTGCAGGGGCAGCAGCGGCCCACCAGGCGGTCCCAGGGCTCCAGAGAATGGAGCCAGAGCGGGAGCCAGGCCCAGGACCGCAGACGGCGTGGCAGCCAGGCTGGCCGGTGCCGCTGCAGGACATTGACCAGGATGACGAGGAGTACCAGCCCCAGCAGGGGTCCTCCGACTGCAGCCAGCACTGTGCTCCCTGCCAGGGAGAGCCCGAAGGCGGCCAGCGGCAGCAGCAGGAAGCTGAGCAGCAGATAGGCGATGGCCACCCAGCGGTATTTGGCGGTCACGTCCCCGAAGCGTTTGGCCAGCGGGATGGGCAGCCGCAGGACAGGCACCACGTACCACAGCAGGATGCCAGCCAGATTGAAAAAGAAGTGGATGAGGGCAACCTAGAGGTCCGGGGGCAGGCAGGGGCTGGGAGCCTGGGCCTGACACACAGGTCCCCCTAGGCTACCCAGGACACCTGCTCCTCCTGCTCCCCACCCCCAACCTAAAGGGTACTAAATCCAGAGCCCGATAGAGGTCCACTTGTTGGCCCGGAAGGGCCACCCAGGGGGACAGATTCCGGCCAGGTGTGGGTGCACTCCTCAGGTTCGCCTCCTCTCCCCCACACACACTTAGGGAGCCCAGTCCAGCATCCCAGTGTGGTGACTACGCCACCAATGACCACATGGGTCTGGCCCTCCCCTGGCCTCTGGCCTGGCTCCTGTGGGGAGGAGGTGCAGGGCCACACGTGCAGGGAACATAGTCCCCTCCAGGGGCTGCTGGACTTGAGGAGTCGGTGTGAAAGGTGCAGTCTGGAGGGGGTGGACCAGGGACCTGCACCGAGAGGATCCGAGTGGACAGAGCAGAGGCAAAAATGCAGGTGGATGGCGGGGAGGGCTGGGGCTCGTGTCCTGGTGGGCAGAAGATCTGTCTGGGCTTTCAGGAGCTGCGCCTGTCTGGGCATTGGGGCAGAGCCAGTGGTGGACGGAAACTCGAGCCAGGGCAGTGGGCCAACGAAGGGGTGACTTAGAGACGGAGTCGGCAGGACTAAATGTGACTGGGTGTGGGGCACAGAGCTAGGGGACTAGAGGGAGGCATCCTGGAGGCAGAATTGCGGTCGTGTGCAACAACAACTTGGAGCACCTGGCACAGGTGAGGCGGGGTTTTGGCAGAAAGAGGGCATGTTGTCGGGTTTAGATGGTAGGGGAGGGGGGTGCATCCCAGAGGAGGTGCAATAGAGGGGCTTAAGGCCCCCCAGGACCAGGATGCCTTGAAGGAGCACAGCCAGCAGCACAGGGTTGGGAGTGGAGCACGGGGATTCCTCGAGGGAGGCCGGGCAGGGGCTGCCAGAAGGAGGAGAAGGCACCCAAGACCACATGACCCTTGAAATGACGTGGGCCCAGGGGAGCAAGAGCGGGGCTGGGGCTCGGAGGGACGTCCACAGGATCCCTAGGGTTCGAGGAGGTGGGGCTGTGGGTCCGACCCAGCAGCCGGAGGTGGGTCCCAGGAGAGCTTGGGCCGTGGCCAGCCTGGCCGCGGGGTTGGACAGGAGGGAGCTGAGTCCAAGGGGGAAGCCCCAGGCCTGGATTCCGAGGGGGCGGGGGAGGGGGGCGAGGGTGGTACCTGGAGGGCGCTGAGCAGCATGTCCGCGGGACTGGCCAGGGCGGCCAGCAGGGCTGTGGTGGTCGTGCCGATGTTGGAGCCCAGGAAGAGGGGGTATGCGCGCTCCAGGCTGATCACCCCGACCCCTGGGGGAACCGAGGGGGGGGGGAGGGGGGGTCACCGCCGGGCCTGAGCCCTCGCGCCTACGGCCCAGAGCCCAGGGCCCGCCCGCTGCACTCACCCATGAGCGGCACAACGGCCGCCGTGAAGACACTGCTGCTCTGGAGCACGAAGGTCAGGCCGGCGCCCACCAGGATGGCCAGGTAGCCGCTGAGCCAGCTGAAGGGGAAGGGGAAGTCTGCAGGGTGGGGGGAACGGGGTCACCCCCCCGCCCGGCCGCCGGCCCCGCCCCCCACCCCCATGCCCCCATTCCGGGCCGCACCAGCATTGATGACCTTCCTCACGGCCTGGGCGATGCGGCCGCGCAGCACAGAGTTAAGCAGTTTGACGATGAGGACGAGGCAGGTGCAGAGCAGGAGCAGGGAGGCGGCCAGAAGGATGAAGCCCACGGCCAGGTCCGTGAGCGTGGTTCCCACAAACAGGTGGTGGCCTGGGGGCAGGGCTGGGTTGGTGAACCACGGGGCGGGGGAGGGGGGGGGGGGGGGGGGGGGGGGCGGGGCCGGAGCGGCCGCGCGCCGGGCCTCACAGGGCAGCAGCTCCACCGCAGCCGTTCCGTTCCTCTCAGGGCAGGGGCCGGAGGCCGCCTCTCCACAGTCGCTGCTGTTCCCCGAGGTCTGGGGAGGCGAGGCAGGGCAGGCTCAGGACCGGCTCAGAGCCGGCGGGACCGAGTAATTCGGCAGGTCAGAGATCAGGGGTCAGAGGCACCTCACCATCACCTCCCTGGTGCCGCACCATTGCTTAATGAGGCTGCTGTTGGTGGCGTTGCCCGTGGCACTGCTTGCAATCTCATCGGTGTCCAGCTGGGGGAGAGAGGCCTTGTGACCGGGTACTGGACCCGCTCGCCTGGACTCACGCCCACAGCCCGGCTCGTTCTGCCCTCTGTTCCCCCCACCCAGTGCAGGGCCCAGGACGGAGGCTGGGGCTCCCCCCCCCCCCGCCCCCACTCCCCGCATTCCCCGGCCCGAGGGGCCGCCCGAGGGCAGCACTTTCCTCACCTGCACAATGAGGTGTGTGAGAGGCTGCGTTAGCACCTTGAGGATGTCGGGCGCGTGCCCCCCAGGCTGCAGGCTGGTGGCGTCCAGAGTCAGGGCGCTGAGCCTCTCCAGCAGGGCTATGGCGCTCTCCAGCGGCAGCAAGATGAGCACCGTGAGCCAGTTGAAGATGCCGTGAACAGCTGAGCCGCCAAAGGCCCTGCCGCGTTGAGCGGGGGGGATGGTCGGTGGCCTCAGCGGTGGCCTGGCTTGCGGCCCCCGGCCCTCCCCAGCTCCCAACTCACCTCCGAAACTCATCTCGGTCCCCTGACTGTGCCATTGAGACCAGGGTGCTGGTGATGGACGTGCCCACGTTGACGCCCATGATGATGGGCACACACGCCTGGACGGTCAGCACTGTGGGGGTGCTGCATCAACCTCCCGTACCCTGCCCAGCCACCACCGTCCCGGGAGGAGAGGGGGTGCACTCACATTTGGAGGCCACCATGCTGACCACAATGGAAGAAGACGTGCTGGAGCTCTGGACGAGAACTGTGACCAGCACGCCGATGACCAGTCCAGCCACAGGGTTGGACAGCACCACGTTCTCCTTAAAGATGTCTCCAGTCACCTTGCCTGTGTCCAGAGAGCGGCGCCCTGAAGCTGTGCACGACAGGCCGCCCGCACACTGCCCCCCACCCCCCGCGCCTCACCCCCGTCACTCACTGCTCAGCAGCTGGAAGGCGGAGCTGAGGATGTCCAGGGAGCAGATGAAGAGGTAGAGGCTGCCCAGGAGTCCACAGGCCTTGAGGAAGCCAGTGGCCACCCGGAGCACCCTGCCGGCCACGCTGAGCTCTAAGAACACAGAACAGGGCTGTCCCCGGTGCCAGCCCCCGCCCAGCCCTGCCCTGCCCATGATGCCTCCCGGGCCACTTCCTCCTGTCTCCCTCCAGAGCAGGGCCAGGGCCCCCCTTCCTTGTCTCTTCACAGGGCAGGGCCTGGGTCTGCCTCCTTGTCCCCCAAGGCAGGGTCTGGGTCCCCTCTCTGTTCCTTGGCAGGGTGGCCAAGCGGACTACTCCTGGGACCTCCCAGAAGCCTACTGGCCGGCAGGAGGAGGGGCCGGCTGGGTCAGGGTGGCTCTCGTCTCCAGACAGGGCAGGCAGCTGATCTGAGGGACAAGGATCCCTGGGGCGGTGGTCTGCATAGTAGGTTTCTATACGGCCTGCTGAGGCAAACCTCCTCCCTGCGCTCTCTCCCTAAGGACCCTCTCCACGCTCAGACCCTGGGGGGTCAGAGCCCCATTTGGCCCGTTACCCGACACCTCAAGACCTACCTTTCCAGGACTGGCCAGTGTCCTTCAGCTGAGGGAGGGCCCAGGGGTCCATTTTCCCCTCTTCCAAGACTGGGGCGGAACCGGAGGTCCCTGCAGGAGCCAAGGTGAAGTAGGGCCAAGGACACCCCAGGTGGGGGGCCAGAGGGGGTGAAGGGGACTGTGGCATAGGGGCTTGGGGTAAGAGAGAGGAAAGGGGGCCTCCAGCTTGTCCGGCCCTGACTGGAATTGTCATGGGTCCCCATGGGCTCTCCAGGAGATAGGCAGGAGCCCCCTCCCCACCTGCACAGAGCAATGGGTCAGGGGCTAAGTGGATAGGCAGAGAGAGAGGCAGGCTGAGGCCTGGTCCCTTGGGGCTCTTGGTACCTGCATTTCCCAGGCTCCGGTCCACCAGGCCAACTGTGTCCAGAGTAAGGGGGGGGACCTGGCCACCCGTGAGGGAATTCGGCATGGATTTCTGGCAGGGATAGACCAGGCCCAGGCCTGGATCTGCTGGGGGCGGGGAAAGCAGGTCAGATACATAGCCTCCCCCTGCCCCGCCAGGTCCTGGGGTCCTCTAACCTGAGCTCTGTCTTCCCTCCCCTCCCCCCCACACCCGCCTTGCCGACTTCCTGCTTCGTCCATCTATGGGGGATGGCTATAGTGACCTCAGGCAGCTGTCAGGAGGGCCCAGTCCCGTTTCGGGGGCAGAGTCGAGGGGACCCTGGCTCCCTGGCTCCCTCGCTGGTCCTGGCTGGAAGAAGACCTGGTGGGTGGCCCAGGGCACAGGGTGCCGGGTGCCGGAAGTGGCTAGGAGCCGGGAACCCAGGGACCTCTCCTATCAGGTGTCATCAGGGACACTGCAGATGGTCCCAGCTTAGACTTTGGCATTTGATACCAGACCGTGACGTCTCTGCTTGATAAGGGCCCCACCCCCCAGTGATGGGGGCAGGGCAAGGGGCTTGGGTGCCCCCACCTCGCCTCAAGGCTCCTCTCTTCAGCCCTCTGGGTCTGGATCCCCCGTCTAGTCGTCTACCCCATCTCCCTCCCAGGCCCCAGGGTCCAGGTACTGGAGAGCTTTCTGTCACCCTCCCTCCTGTCTCTTGTCCTCAGCTCGGGAGGCTCAGGGTGGGGCCTGAGCCCTGGGCCGGGAGGTCACCAGCCCTTGTCTCGGTGTCCCTGGGCCCCCACCTGGTTCTGGAAGCTCCTACCTGTGAGGGTAGTGAGGGGGCACCTGCGGGGAGGAAACACAGGGCGGGAGCAGCTGCCGGTCAAAGATCTGCTGGGCGCACACATGACCTGCTGTGTACTGAGCCCCATTAATGTTTACCCAGGAGTTGAGGCTCCCGAGGGGTACCTGTCACAGCCCCAGGTGCCTGCCTTGTCCACGCTGCACTGCTGCCCTGTGGCAGGTGCTCTGGGCCCCCAGCCCAGCCCTCTTCGAGTGGGCTTCCTCCCTGGATGGGCCCTGGGCCAGGCCAGGGGTGTTGCGGGGCTGGGCACAGGCTCTGAGTGCAGGACTAGCGTAAGTAGACCCCTGTGTGGCACGACCAGACGCTGTGTGCCGCCTGCCCTGGGTAGGGCGGGGAAGGGCAGGGCAAGGGCAGGATGCTGGCACTCTGGCTGGTTGGCCTGGAGGCCCCTTGAGAAGTCTGCCCTGAGCTCTGCAGACCTTACTGTGGTGGTCCCTACCCCATCAGAAGAGTGGGAGGGAGGCGCTTTGCACCCACCGGGTGGGGAGGGCCCCAGCCCCCGAAGTCTTCCAGTTCAGACCCAAGTTCAGGGCAGGGCTGGGCCCAGCAGTGCTCCCAGCGGGCCCAGCCTCAGTGGCGGGCAGTAATGGTGGAGGGCACTGCGCCTCCATCTGCAAGTTGGGGGCGGGGGCAGGGCCCGTCCCCCAGGCCGCGGTGCTGCCCAGCCCACTGCCTGTCCCACCTGGACCGGAAGACTCAGCCCATCCTGCTCCCTCCCCCCGGAGAGTCCTGACTGGCGCCGTGGCTTGTGGGCGCCTCTCGGGGTCAGTCCCCTTCCTGCTGCCCCTGCTGGGGCATGCTCCTTGCCCTCCCCCTCGGGCCACGGTGCCCTGGTATAGTTGCTGCCCACCAATCGCTGTGTGCCCTGGGGGACTTTGCCCCAGAGAAGGAGGAGGTTTCTGAGTGTCCTCTCAGCAAATTTTCTTGTCCCTCCCTGTCCTGCACCCACTGCCCGGGGCAGGCCCAGCAGTTCCTCCCAGAGGCAGTGTGACAGTGTGACAGCCCCTTTCGGGATGGGGATGGGGATGTTGCAGCCTGACTTGAGGGAATGTCTGTGTCCACAGCCTCCAGAACCTTCTCTGGCCCCTCTGAAGGGTCTGTGTGGTGGCCATTATGAGGTAGACGGAAGCGGAAGCTGAAGGCCAGGAAAAGGCCTAGCGTGGGAGGGGTCCTACTGAGCTGTGCCATCTCGGGCAGGCCCCCAGCCTCTCTGGGCCTAGAGCCAGCCGCGCCCCGGGGCCCGCTCCTTGGACATCTGTCACAACAGGGACTTTGTGCCTGCAGGGGACCCTGCCGGAACAGTGCCCAACACGTAGTGGGTGCTCAGTGAGCTTTGTTGAATAAATGAACTTCACAGGGATGCTTTGCAAGACAGGGCTGAAGGAGGTGGCTCTCTGCTCTGGTTCCCACCTGTGGGACTTTTTTAGCCAGAGACCCGTGGAGGCGTCCTCTGAGCTGAGTCCAGACCTGGGTTGGGCTTGCAGGAGACTCTGAGCGCAGCAGCCCTCACTCACCACGCACACAGTCAGGCTGGCCTGAAGCCCTGGAATCCTGGCCAAGACGGGAAAGAGGTAACCGGCTTCTCAAAGAGCCTCACGGTACCATGGGCACAGCCCCCACACTCAGGCTGCGGTCTGGGGGTGTCCGTGTGGGGTCCCAGGCCGTTCCGGGCTGGTTGCACGGCAGTCGGAGGTTCCACGACAAGCATGCCGTGGACAGCAGGTCCTCGGCGGGCGGTGGACTCAGACCTGGGGACTGTCCAGGGTGTCCCAGCAGAGGCCGCAGCTGCAGCAGCGTCTGGGCTGGGGGAAGTGGGGCTGGGTGCCCAAGGCGGGGCGGAGCCTGGCTGGCTGCTGAGTGACAGCGGTGCTGCCTTTGGGGGGCGCGGGACGCTGGGGCTCCATGCGAGGCGGCTCCCGCTCAGCCCTGACAGCCAGGAAGGCGGCCAGGTCGAGGTCCAGCATGGCCACCCCTCCACGGGGCGTGGGTGTGCTCTGGCGGCACTGCGGGCAGGGGACCCAGCGCTGCTCGTGGGCCACCGTGTCCAGCCGCCGCACGCACGCCTGGCAGAAGGTGTGGCCGCAGTAGAGGCGGCGCGGCAGGTGCCCGGCCAGGTCGTAGGCTGAGTAGCAGATGATGCAGTCACCGCGCCGGGACCCAGTGGCAGTCCCCTCCTCGGAGACCCGGGAGCTCTCTGGCTGCAGCATCCTGGGGGAGGCGAGCAGGGGCGCTGCAGCCCACCCTGCCTGCCTCTGCCGTCGTCTGGCACCGTTTGGGCCCCGACCCCGGGGGTGGGGGGTTGGCCTGGGCCTCTGCAGACCTGAGAGGGTGGGTGGTGGCCAGTGGGGCCCCAGACGCCGGGGCCTGGGCCCAGGCCGGGCTCCTGCGGCTGCCGACCAGGCAGCATCCTGTCCCCCTGTTTGGGCCCTCCTGCCCAGCTCCACACCGCCCCGCACCCCAGCCGGCCTGAGCCCCAGGCCTCTCTTACCTGCATCCACTCTCATGGGCAGCTCTGTCCAGAGGACGTCCGGGGCTTGAGGGGGGGACCCAGGCCGCCCTGCGGCTCCCTCGCTGGGGCTCGCATTACTGGCCGAGCACAGGCGAGGCAGCAGGGAGGCAGTGGGCTCTCCTTTCAGCCACAAAGCGCTTGCAACTGGATCCACCAGGCACCACCAACTCAGCAGGAGATAAGGTGCCCCCCCAGTCTGCCCTCGCCCCCCCCCCCGCCCCTCCATGCCTGGACCCAGCTCCACTAGGCCCCCACCCAGGCCCGGCTTCACAGCTCACCATGGTCCTTGTCCCCACCCCGGCCGCCCAGACCCTCTCCCACCCTCCTCTTAATGCTCCCCCCACCTCACACCAGGAAAGCTCTCCGGCCTTGACCTGCGTGTCTCCATCCTTCGGCTCCCAGCTCGAACACCGCCTCTTCCAGGTAACCTGCTACAACCCTCACGGGCTCCGAGCCCTGAGGGGTCCTGCTCCCCCAAAGCTCAATCATAGTGTGTGTGTCCAAGTTGATTTGTCCCAGCACCTTCCTCCCACCTGGTCTGTCCCCTCCGTCCCTATCATACGGCAGTGGCCAGCCCCACGAGGTCCCAAGGGGGTGCTCAAGCACAGGTGTGGAGACCCCCCCCCACACACACACACGGACCACCCAGAACCTCCCTGAGGGGCAGGGCACTGTGGCTAGCCCTGGTCGACCCCATTAGAGGCTACACCCCGCCCCCCCCCAGCATCTGCCTGGCCATAGCCCCCAGGCCAGCCCAGTGACCATGACTGTGGGCACAGCAGAACGGGGTGCGTCAAGAATGGTCCGGATGGGGTCAGGACCCTCGGCACCCTCACTACTCAGCTGGGAGGAAGTCAGAGCCGGAGGGGCTCCTCCTTACTCCTACCACCCTGGCAGTCCACAGCCTCTCTGTCTGGTTGGACAGGTTTCCGGGGCCGGACTGGGTGGGGTCATCCTCTGGTAGAGGCAGGCCATGGGGCAGGGGCCAGGAAACTGGCGCACCGGAGCCCCTGTACAGTCAGGCCAATGACATATCCACCCACACCCAGAGACGGGTCTTGCCCTGTGGCCAGTCACCCTGGGTCGGGGAAGGGCTGGCACCGGGACCCGTCCATCCGGCAAGGCCAGCTCGGCTTCCTCCTCTGGCTGGCCCTGCCTGGCCCTGGAAGGCACAGAGTGCCCAGCGCCGGCCCTACCACTCGCTCCTTGCCCTGGCATCCCAGCCTCCCCTCGGCAGTGAGGTGAGGACAGTGCTAAGCAGCTCAGCTCTCCACTCGTCCCCCCACCCCCACCCCCACCCCCACCCCAGGCAGGCACATCACCCTGCTCAGACAGAGGGGAGACATGTTCTCCGAGGGGCCTCACCGGCCAGTTCCTTTTCTGCTCACCTCGTCCGGGAGGCCCAGGCCCTGGAGGCTGGACACCAGATGAGCAGCATGGCTTGGGTGCCACACAACAGATGTGCAGGAATGGGACGTTTCACGGGGAACCAGAAAAACACCCCGCCCGAGGTAGGGCCGTGACTCACGGGTGGGCAGGGCTCGGTCCTGGCTGCCTGGGCCCCCCGCTCTGAGAAACTTGCCAGTGCTGGCCCCACCCGCGCGGTCCCGCCAACGTGACCCTCCTCCAAACACCACATGGCTCCAAACACCACATCCTCCTCTCGTCTGACCCACTGGCTGACCTCTCAGGCTCGGCCTCAGCCCGAAGGAACACAAGACAGCTTGAACCCGGGCCCGTCTGGGCCAGGGCAGGGGACACACTCCCACCCCTCCTGTCCAGCCTCTGGGTGGACCGGAGACCTGCAGCACAGGTTGGGATGTCATCAGTGGCTTCCCCACCCCTGAACGTACCACAGGGGCTTGAGGCCGGTGGTTGCGTCCAGCCCGGGACCCACTTCAAGGGGGGCAGCAGCAGAGAAGAGTCACCAGAACAAAGGTCACTCTGATTTATTGCCGGGGCTGCGGGCCCTGAGGGAGGTGGTCAAGGGTGTCCCCGGGGCTGCCATTACAGCCAGTGCCCCGGGCTCTGTTTCAAGGGGCCGGAGCTGGGCTGTTGGCCTCTGTGGCGGGTAGGTACTCCTGTCCAGGGTGGAAAGTGGCCACCTCCCACGACCGGGGTCCGGTGGCTGCCCCAAACACGTGGGCGCCGCTGTGGCTGCCTGAGCCACGCTGGGGTCCTGCGGGAGGCCCCTCGGCCCGGCAGGGGCTGGGCTAGGAGATGACGCAGCGGCAGCTGTGGCAGCGGCAGAGGCGAGGGCAGTGGCAGCAGTGGCAGCAGGGGCAGCAGCAGCAGTGGTGGGCGATGTCATCCCCGCGCCCGATGGGTGGCAGGCCGGCGTAGGTCAGTCCTGCCGGGCGCTGCCCACCGCTGTGGGCGTCGCAGGGCTGCCGCCGGCTCTGCCGGCCCTGGCCCCGGGTGGTCCCCGTGGCCCCCTTGCTCCCTGGAGCCTCCTCGGAGGGCTGCAGGAGCCCGGTGGGCTCCGAGGTGCAGGATCCCACAGGCAGAGGCTGGGACCCCAAGGAAGGAGGAGCCGTCTCCAGGCGCTGCCCCAGATCAGGCCGCAGGTGAGCCCGAGGGATGCTGACATGAGCATACGGGTTCTTGACGACCATCTCATGTGGGTCCATGGCCCAGCCTGGCGGGGGCAGGCAGGAGAGACAGAATCAGCTCAGCGGAGGGGCAGAGCTGCAGCCCAGGAGGGTGCCCAACCCGCAATGGGCCTGGCTGCGGAGACACCGGGGTGTACAAGGCGTACGTGTCGTGTGGGTGCGCGTGGGGGTGAGCTGGGTGTGAGGGCCGAGGTCTCCCAGCTGCCCTCCCCGCGTGGCGGTGGGGGATGGGGTGGGGAGGCCGGGAGATGCAGCCGTGCCGTCCCCGCGGCCGAGCCCCAGTGCAGGGGAGCCCCTCAGCCCAGGACCCACCTGCAGTGCTGATGGCAGCGGCGTCCCCTCTCGTCCTGTGGGCCGGGTCCCAGTGCCTGTGAGGCAAGCAACTGGCAGCTGCCTTTTCCCTCCTGGGGAGGGGCGGGGCCGTGGGGCGGAGCTCAAAGATGGGGTTCCCAAGATCCCAGGAGGCCCCAGCTCTCCCAGCACAGCAGCCACCCACCCTTCCTTCTCAGGTGGGTGGTGGCCCGGCCTGGGCTCCGAGGGGCACGGCCAGCCTGGGTGACTCAGCCTCCATGCATCCGAGGCACGTCGTCATCCCTCCCAGGACCTGCAGCTCGCCAGGAAGGAGGGCAGGAGGTGAGCCTGAAGTCAGCCTCAGCTCCCAGGCCTGCGGTGGGCTGGGGAACCCCAGCCATCAGTCGCCTACCTCAGGACCCCTGTTTTGAGGCAGAGGGCAGAGGTCCTCACTTCAACCAACAGCCTCTGCCTGGCAGACAGAGGCTAAGATGTCTGAGAGCACAAACTGCTCTGAGGTTTATAGGTTTCTAACTGATAAAAAATGTTTTATTTACACACCTTTGCTAAAACTGACCTTACAATTGGCGACGACAGGGGCTTCGTTCGCAAGTGTTGTTTGTAGCTCATTTCTGAAAATGCAGCTTCTCTTGGCGCGCTCAGGGACCACCACCAGCTCCCCACCCCACCAGCGTCTCCCACTTTCATCTGTAAGTTGGCAGGTAGCACCTGCCACACAGGGTCGCCGTGTGTGTGTGCGTGTGTGTGTGTGTGTATGTGTGTGTGTGTGTCTGTGTGTGACGGGATGACAGTGGATGTGAGTACTTGGGTCTGGGCCTGGCACTGGTGATCTTCACCCCTCGGAGCGATTAGGGCAGTAGGGTGGGTCAAGGACCTGCGCCCCCAGTCTTTGGTGCCCAACGGAGCCCCCAGGGAGGGAGGGATCAAATCAGAGGTGGCCCAGAAGCCAGCGTGACCGGGGCGGCCTGCATGAGGCCAGTCAGACCGGTCCGGACACGAATTCCACCTTTGCGGCACCGGGTGTGGAGGGAAGCGGGGCCCCCGAGCCCCTCGGACTTCGCAGGTGTGCGACAGATGCTCATTGCGCAGGCTCTAGAAGCCCCACCCACTGCCCCTACAGACTCCGCCCCTTGCTGCGAGGCGGAGGCTGGCGCATGCGTGAAACAGGCCTAGGATGGCCGGTGGGAACTTTATTCCCCAGAAGCCTCCGCGTTCCAAGGTTTCTCTAAAGACCCGGTTCGGGGTCTGCTTGCTCCGGACGGTCCAGGACACGGCCTAGGCCGCTCAGCTCTGACCGCCGGAGCTCCGGAGGCGCGGATTTGGGCGGGCTCGGGAGGTGGGCCTGAGGGGGCGGGACCTCACTCCAGGGGCGGGGCCTCGGGGCAAGGGGTGGGGCTTGGTGGCCGGTGCCTCCTTGGGTGCTCGCCCGGCGGGCGGGTGGGAAGCTGAGCAGCCCCGGAGGGAGGCCGAGGCTGGGCGCCTAGCCCTCCCCTGACCGGGGCTCTCTCAGTTGTCCATCTTAACCAGAGCCCATAAGGCTCTCGCTGCCCATCCCGTCAGGCACCTGCTCACTTGCACACCTCTCACACCCGCTCTCCATAAATGGCTTTGGAAACTGAGACCCAGACACTAGCCTGAGGTCACACAGAGCAGCAAAGTCGGGCCCCATGGGACAGCTACGCTGCTCCAGTCTGTTTTGCCCGCGTGGGCTTCGTCGCCAGGAACAGCGACCTCTCTGAAGGAGCGGGGCAAGGCCCATAGCCAGGTGCAGTTCGGCCTGGACAGAGCAGAGGGGCTGTGGCCAGAAGAGGCTGACACTGTCCAGGGTCAGGCACAGGGCCCAGTGCGGGTCACTGGAGTGCTAGCCTGCCACGTGGTAGCTGGCTCAGGTCAGGGGGTGGCACTGTGGAGGTCCCCGGCAGCTGTGGTCCCCTGCCCAGTAGTTGCCAACACGTCCTCTGTCCTTTCTCTCACCTGAGGGTTCCCCACAGGCAGAGAGAGGGTAGACACCAGGGAATCAGGGAAGCCCGGCTTGAGGAAACAGAAAGGAATGGGGCCTCCATGCTGGGTGGGGTCAGGTTAGCACACAAATACGTGACAGCAGGGCACGTGCTGACCTGATGGGATGCCGGAAAGGGCCACCCCACCCTGGGCGGGTGCGTGTCCTCGTTGGGTTGCCCCACTGGCCTGTCCAGCTGTCTGTCGGACCTTCCGCATACCCCTCACCCTGTCCAGCTGTCCATGAGTCCTGTCCTCGGACCCTTCTCCCAACGACTGTCCCCTCTCCATCCACTCCTCTGCTAGCTTGCTTGCCCACACCTACTCAGCCTCATGGTCACATCATCCTCTTTGAGCCTGTCAGCGTTGAGCACAACCTGGTTACACTTGTGAGCCAGAGGCATGCCTACTGGGGGCACAGTGGAAGGACAGCAGTGACGCTGACTCTCTGGGGGGGGGGGGGGGGACCCAACTTTGCTGAGGGCGCCCAGAAGCAAGCGAACACAGGAGTGGATGGA